TTTTTTTTTCCTGACATTTAAACTGAATCTTTCATGCTCCAGTTGAAGCCCATTATTTTTGGTCACATTCATTGTGGACTTGGAAAACGGATCCCTTTTGCCTTGCCGTAAGTTTTTTGTGTGTTTGGAAACAGATCAAGTGGCCCTTCACGTTGAAGGTTTTGTGCCTTGTTACCATACACACACACACATCCTAACCACAGAACCCACCAGCACACAGCTGCTGGCAAAGGACAAGTAAATCAAACTTTAAAAATCAGTTTTCAGTTACATGGTATCTAGTGGTTTGGCCGCCTGACCTTTGTAAGCATTTTCACCTACTTGTCCTGTGAGTGTGAAGGCTTTGTATTTATCACTAGTTACACAGTGTTGCTCTCTTTAACACCTGTCTCTTATACACATCTCAGCTGGGGCCGGGCGCTGACCGCCCTTCTGCCCGCAGGAAGAAGAAAAAGGCGAAGGACAAGGCCCAGATCCTGGAGCAGATCGTGAGCAGCAAGAAGCAGGAGGAGGAGAAGAAGCGCGGCCTGGACAAGCGGACCCCGGCGCAGGTGGCCTATGAGAAGATGCAGGAGAAGCGGGTAGGGCTGCCCTGCCGGAGCCGGGCTCCGCGGGACGATGTAAAATCCCCAGTTGGCCCCTCAGATGCGGCCCCTGAGGGGCTACGAGTGCTGGAAGTAACTGGCCTCTGTTTGTCTTTCCCCAGCAAATGGAGAGGATCCTAAAGAAAGCATCTAAAACCCATAAGCAGAGAGTGGAGGTACGTGAAGTTACCCCGATTTACTCAGGCCAGCCTGTGTTTATCAGCACACAGCCTTGTAGGGCTGGAGGAACGGTTTCGCCTTTGTGAAACATGGAAGCGGGGAGGCAGGGAGTCTCGTGGTTGAGCGGTGGTGATGTCAGCATCAATATTAAGCGTTTTCTTTCTCTTTCTCTCCCCTAGGACTTCAACAGACACCTGGATACTCTGACAGAGCATTACGACATTCCCAAAGTCAGCTGGACGAAGTGAATGGTGGACTGGTTTTCAAGGCTTTGGATCAGGAGTTGTGTTTTGTTTGTGTTGAACAGGGTTGCCACGTAAATCTGTGTATTCTCCACACTGAATGTTTAATATACCTTCTGAACGTTTATGACTTTGTACTGCCTTATTTCATTGTTTTGTGTTTAAAAACTAGATATTGAATGAAGTCTCAATTCTTGGCTGATGAGCTCTGATATATGTAGGTGCAGAGGGCTATTTTTTTAGCACTTGAAGTGAGATTAAGGTGAAAGTCAGTGGCAGTGAGCCAGCTGGAAAGCGTTTCTTTATTTCTTTGATTATAACAGCTCTCCTTTTTGGAAGTGAGGAGCCTGATAGTTTCATATAGCATAAACTTCTTCTGTAAATGATAGGAATTGTGTAGTTTCTTCCTATCTAGAACTCTATCAGAGGTGGCAGGTCTGATGTTAACTTGTAACTTCGATGTAACTTATTAAAATGCTGCTTTCATCCTTTTTTTTTTTTTTTTTTAAAACGAGGGGCAGTGCACTGACCAAACAGTTTGTGCGTGGAGTTTTTGAAAGTACCTTGCCTGCCTTTGCAATTCTTACTCCCTCTCTTTGAGAGATGTATCTTGTTTAAAATCCTAACGTGCCTCTTAAAACTCGAATGTTGTTCTAAAACCTAAATACCGTCCCTCTGTTGTCCGGGGTTGGGCTCTGGATGCTCAGACCCTGCCCAGGGCTCCCACCTCAGCCTGATCAAACCACATTCCCTCCCTCCCCGTGGGCCGCGGCACGGCGGGGGTCCCCCGGGCCGCGCTGGGCGATGCGGGCGCCGCGTTCCCCTCCCCGGCAGGTCCTTGGGGCCAGCCCCGGCTTTGCGTGGCGCTGCGGGTCCTTGCTGTGACAGGGGAGCCGTGGCCTGTGTCTCCGCCGTTACAGATACTGAGGGAGGCGGCAGCTGATAGCAGATGCGCCAGCAGGGCCCCTGGGGTGATTAATCTCTGCCCTCACTGGAGGTGGTTTGTCCCAGAGGAGTTGCATGTTTTCCCATCTTAAAAGCATTATTAGGGCGTGTGCAGCAAAGGTGAAGAATAACTCAGGAAAATATAAATAAAATAAATAAAAATATATAAACATGAGTTTGCAGCGAAATAGTCGGGATTTGCATTCTGATCCGTGAAGTATTTTGGCATCGTGATTTGCATTTGTAATATGCATAAAGGCTAGAGTAAAGCTTGGCGACTTTTTTAAAAGTTACTTAAAAAGAGGCCTTCCCAGTACCTTGTGTGTTGGTCTTGCATGGTAACATCACCTCGTGAAAGAGAAAAAAAAGAAATAGAAGGATTTTATTCTTCTCTTTATAGGTTCTTATCTGTCGGAATTACCGTGGAGATGTGGACATGTCAGAGGTGGAGCATTTTATGCCAATCCTTATGGAAAAGGAAGAAGAGGGGACACTTTCTCCTATTCTAGCACATGGAGGAGTTCGTTTTATGTGGATTAAACATAACAACCTGTATCGTATCCTTTGTACTGCACATAGCTCCCAGATGCTGACATGCCACGTGCTGCTACATTAATTTTGTTGTTTGTGTCTAAATGCAAAACTTGAGAATGGGCCAAGTGACGTAGGGAGGCTCTGATAAATAAAGCCATTTTATGCTTTACATAGTGCAAGGTGCACCAGCAGCACAGGGTGTAGAAAACTATTTATATTAGGTTTACCCTTGTGAATTATTTCTGGAATGTTTATCTTCATATTTTGTTAGGCCGGAGGTATTGTTAATTAAATAACTCTTAGGTTTTTGGCCAACCCTAGTTGCCCAAGGCTTTTAAAAATTCACTTAGTTACTAACATTTTTTTTGAGTGGTGTCTCTGAATGTGTGTTCCTGAACATCTTTTACCAGTTGTTGCAACTTCTAAGAAAAATGCTTGTGTATCACTGGTGTTTTCATTTTTATATAAAGTAGTTCAGGTGAGTATGATGTTTCAAAAGTAACCTCTGTCATCTTTTCAGTTCACCCTAAATCTGCTCTAAATAGAAGCGCATAAAGCTTTCACATTTTTAAAGAACTTTATGGTAATAGCATTTTTACTTTATATTTGATTGTTTTGTAGAACTATCTTCCTAACCACTAATAATGGGATTGATATTTTGTAGCTGAGTAGGCAAAGGATGTGACACAATGCTGTAAGTAGTTGCACAAGACCTGAGAACACAGAGGAGAATTGTGAACTTGATGCATGAGTAGTGGCTTATCATATAGATTCTGCCTTTGGTTCGTCTGTACCTGACATGAAAAATATTTTCTCCAGAATAAATATTTTTCATAATGCTTAGAATTACTACTAGGATTCTCTAGCTGTCTTTTAATTGAGGTGGGTTTTCTGAGGCTGATCTGATCAGAATGCTGTTTGTGAGTTACAGGGTTTGGTTTGGGACTTTTCAAAAATTACTATTTTAGATGCAAGAATACATTCTGAATATGCAAGAATCCATTCTTCCTCAGTTAATGTTCTTCTTCCTCTCCCTCCTTTTGTTTCAGGTTTTTTCTGAATATTTCAAGGAGTTGGAAGAAGAGAGCATTAGGGATAATTTTGTTATTATTTATGAGTTGTTAGATGAGCTTATGGATTTTGGTTATCCACAAACCACTGATAGTAAAATTTTACAAGAGTAAGTATCATTCTGCATCACTTAATGACAAACTCCTTGGAAAGTTTTGAGCATCCTTCCATAAGCAAACAAATGTTTCGGCTTGGTCTAGTTATCAAAAAAATTAATTTTTTTTTTTTTTCCGTATCAATTCTATAAAGATACATCACTCAGGAAGGTCATAAACTTGAAACTGGAGCTCCACGTCCACCTGCCACAGTTACAAATGCTGTTTCATGGAGATCAGAAGGGATAAAATATAGGAAAAATGAGGTGTTCCTGGATGTTATAGAGTCCGTTAACCTTTTGGTGAGTAAAATTAACTTTAAATGAGTTAAATAGGAAGCGTTGAAAAGGGCTTGTTGTCTGAAAGCCTGCAAGGGTACAATAACAAGTCATATTGACTGTGGCTAGTGTACTGTGATGCTCAAAACAACATCAGTCCTTAAGACTGAGCACCCATAAGGACATCCAGAGGAGAAATAGTGCTTTACTTGGACATACTGCAGATTTTTGGTATGTCCTTTCCCCCTGCATGTGCACCCGTCACCTCCCTGATCTAATTCTATTCTACTGGGTTAATTTATCTGGAGAAAGACATCCAAGAAAGCTTGGGAAACATCTTGGGAAAACATCCAAGAAACGTGGGGATGGGGTGGGAGCGTTGTGGCATGTCACAGCGTATCACATGGGAGCAGTCTTACCTTTCTTTTTTTGTTTTGTTTTTGTTTTTGTTAGGTCAGTGCCAACGGAAACGTGTTACGGAGTGAGATCGTTGGATCCATTAAAATGCGAGTCTTTCTCTCGGGAATGCCAGAGCTGCGCCTTGGTTTAAATGACAAAGTTCTCTTTGATAATACAGGCCGTGAGTATTTTCAGTGATACCTCAATAATCATGAAAGATGTTATCTGGAGTCTTTAAGTTTTGGAACCCTTGAGGTTCGACTGAAAGGATTTGTTCTGAGATTATAGAAATACTCCTTTTATCAGTGTAGAAACCCCCGTCAGCTCGTGTGTGTGTGTGTGTGACAGTACCAAGCAAAGATGGAATACCATGGTAATAGGTGGTAACCATCTGGGCTTCCTCATCTTTTTTTTTTTTTTTTTTAATCTCTGGGACTTCTGTAGTCCTAAAAGCCTATAGCAAGCTGAAAAAAAGGATTGGCTAAAAGGGAGGAATGTCAGCAGACAACTGCTTTGGTGTGTAACTGCCTGCGATGAGGCATCGGACAGAATTTGCGTAGCCCCTTGAAATGTGTATTTTCTGCTAGGTGGGAAAAGTAAATCAGTAGAACTGGAAGATGTAAAGTTTCACCAGTGTGTTCGTCTCTCTCGCTTTGAAAACGACAGGACAATTTCTTTCATTCCCCCTGATGGAGAGTTTGAACTCATGTCGTATCGTCTAAATACTCATGTGAGTCTGGATGTTTGCATTTTTTTCTGTGATAATTTTTTAGATTGTAGGCAAAATTGCTAACAGCTTTCCCTTTTTTTTGTTTTTTTTTCTAAAGTATGGGCAGCATAGTAGTTTTCAAGGCAACCGTTAATAGGAAAGCTTTGTGCTCTTTTTGGAGGAAGTAAGAATGAGTTTAGAAATAACTTGGCAGTAAGTCTCTGTCTTTTCAACTACTATTGAAACTGGTTCTGAAATAACCGTTCCTGTGATGATTTTTTTTTTTTTTTAAGCTAAGTACATGATGAAATGGCAGTGTAGCAATTCATTGTGCTTGAGAACACAGCGTTTATGGGATTTAATTTTATTAGAGTATGCTAGCCACAGTGATAAGGATAGCTTTCCTTTCAGAAAAGGGAAAAGTCAATGTACAGAAGGTCTGTAATATGCAGCTGTGACAGGAGACAACAAGTTAAAAGTTTAGTATAAATTTTTTATTTTAAGGGCAGTGGTTTGCATTAGTTATTTTTAGGGCTTGTCCCTAGTGTGTGAAATTACTAAATATTTTGGAATGCAAGTGTTTGTTATTAGGGGTTAGTCTGAGACATACCTTTTTAAGCCTGTAATTCTTGCAACACTTGATCATTAGTATATCAACGCCTGCTCATTTGTATAATTTTTTTTCTTCAATAAGAATTCAACTTGTTTGTCATTTTGAACACCGCAGGCTTTCTGTTTTCTGTGGGGTTCACGTGTAACTTTATGGGGAAGCAACATTTTCATGACTGTGTCAAAGTAAAACCTACAGCTGTGAAGTGTTTTTCCCCTTTAGGTAAAACCACTGATCTGGATTGAGTCTGTGATTGAAAAACATTCCCACAGCCGCATCGAATACATGATCAAGGTCAGAAGTTCTAAAATAATTCTGGCTAATTTTAGTCTTTGATTTGTTTTCAAAGCTTGAACCACCAGTCTGTGCATTTTTGTGCAAGTATTAAGTATTTCTGTGGGACTTTCATCTTTGTGAAAACTTAATTTGTGAGTTATGATCTCTGTGTTACAGTTCTGTTTCTCAGTACGGAGGTTGGGGTAGAGGGGATTGTGTCTCACAGCTCTCTGAACTCGCTAGGATAATGGAAATATTTAGAGGCCTGTTTTTATGATTTTATTTTATTTTCCTTTAGGCAAAAAGTCAATTTAAGCGTAGATCAACTGCCAACAATGTGGAGATTCACATTCCAGTTCCAAACGATGCGGACTCGCCAAAGTTTAAAACCACTGTTGGAAGTGTCAAATGGGTTCCAGAGAACAGTGAAATTGTCTGGTCCATTAAATCTTTTCCAGTAAGTGTTATTTTTAGTCTGATTGCCTAATAGTGTAATAATTACTTAATATTTTATGCACGTTCATACTTTGCCTGAAGAAAATTCTAATAGTTATCAGACAAGCAGTACTGACCTATTCCTCTTCTCCCTTGGATGAGGGCTTGGAACTTGCTAATGAATGTTTGTGATACTGTTGTTTATATTTTTGTTTAGTTTTGGTTTTAACTGGGGTAGTTTTTCAGAACTGGGTTAGAGAGCAGATTTTTGAGCGATGTCTGTGGATGGTGCAATCCCTTGGCCTTGGTTTAGCAGCAGCTGTTTCAGTTTGTCAGATTGTGCTTCTTGGGTGGTTCCAGGAGCATGAGCTCTTGCAAATGTTGATGGGGTGATAGCACAGCAGTTTGTCACTACACAATCAGAATGGTCAGTGGCACCAAAAAAATTGAACTTTTTTTATGTTCCTCTTGTTTTTGAGTATGAAGCTGGTCTTAATTTGATCTGAATCTTAAAAAAAAAAAAAAAGTTTTAAAATAAAAATGAATGTTCTCTTTTAAGCCCTAGAGAAAAGTTGAAATGAATAGTGGAGTTCAACAATTTGACATTAAGAAAAGCGTGTGTATTGTTGCAAGTTCTTTAATTTTTTTGTTTCGAGAAAAAAAAAAAAAGTGTCCCTTTTGGCTAGGGTGGAAAAGAATACCTGATGAGAGCTCACTTCGGACTTCCAAGTGTTGAAGCTGAAGATAAGGAAGGAAAACCTCCCATTAGTGTAAAGTTTGAGATTCCGTATTTCACCACTTCAGGAATCCAGGTTAGTAGTTGAAAACGGCAGTTCTGATAAGTTAACATGCCAGGCTCTTCATGTGCAATTTTTTTCTCATCTTCTTGATGATTCCTGTTCAGTGTTACCCATAAAACATATTTTTGACCGAGAATTCATTGGTTTTTTTCTTTTTTGATAAATACTGTTTGGCGGACATGAGAGACTTTTTCTGCGTACATTTTTCTTTCCAGGTTCGTTACTTGAAGATAATTGAGAAGAGTGGCTATCAGGCTCTCCCCTGGGTTCGTTACATCACCCAGAACGGAGGTAAGTGGAAGGCAGGAGATTGTAGATGTCTCCAACTTGCATGTTTTCTTTCTCCAGCATACACCTACAAATCAAAACACACAAAACCAGTTCGCTCATGTTCTTAATTATTAAACTGTATGGTTTAGATATGTGTTAGATTAAGGTGTGCTGCTTTTTCCAGTCACCTTTTTTAGTGTCTGAGGTAGTTCAGTGATGCTGTTCAAGGATTTTGTAATTAAGCTGGGATTGATTCAGTGAGATTTTTGAAATAGAAAATTAAAAAGAAATTGCTTACAGACATCATTCTGCCAGCTTTAAGATGTATAAGACACTGTCTACTAAAAGATACTAGATCATTTCCAAGTAAAAGCAGTGGGAGTTTTTGTGTTGTGGGTTTGGTTTTTTTTTTCTTTTTGTTGTTTTTGCTAACTAACTTTTTTCCTGGCTTGAAAGCATGAATGCCTGCCAGTTACCTTAATCGCTTCAGAGCCCATTTTTATGGCCATTCTACACAAAAGCCTGGTTTTATTTTATATTGCTTCATCGCAGTTTGCTGATCTGCTTTACTACCTTTAGTGAGACAGTTTACTAAAACTGGATTTTTGGGTTTTTTTGCTTTTTGCAGACTACCAGCTTCGAACACAGTAAAACACCTCGCAAGCACCACAGACGACAAAAACTTCAGGCCTAGAATTTGTTTGCAGAAGCTTCTGTGGTACTGAGAGCTGTGAATGTTGTTGCCAAGGGTCTTGTTTCTGCAATCTTGGGATTGGCAGGAGAAAGATTGGAAAATTAACTGTTTTCAGTAATGTGTTTGAGCATTTGAACCATTAGTATTGATTGCGTGAATATTTATTTCATTCTTAGAACATGCTGATCTTGCTGCTAAATGCTAATTACATTAGGAGTAGCAGTTACCTTGAGGAGCCAGGAATACAGAATGAACCTTGAGAATGTTTTGTCAATGCCTTGTCCGTTACACTCATAAAATTTCTAGTATTTGTATTTTAGGATCTCTAAAGACATTGGCAGCATTATGCTACAAATTAGGGAGATGATTGTGCAATTAAATGACTGCTGAACACTTAGTTGTATTTAGCCCAAGGTATTTATTTTTTTTTCTGGGCATATGGGTGCCTTAACTCATTCAAAGCTCTGTTAACTTATAAAAAAATTACAGAATATGAGTTAAAAGTATCTCAAGTCCAAAAATACTATTTGCTCTTTTTGCATGGTTTCAAACCAGTTAATCTGACAGAACAACTTCAAGTGAAGGGTTTGGAAACAAAAAAATATGGGTTTGTTAAAGACAAAGTTAACTGAGAACAAGAGATCACAGAAGTAAATGTCTATGGGAACACCTCTGTGGAAGCACGATGATTGCTAGCTCAAGATAGTGGAAACGCAGATGGAAGAGTTTCAACCCTGTAATACCCCTAGGGCATGGAAACCCTATGCCAATTGACTAGTATTTGCCTTTTTTTTTTTTTTAATTTCTATTTGTAATACAAGTTCAAAACTGTAATATGTAGGCATAAGACCTTAGATTAATTATTTAAAACAGACCAAAACAACTTTAGAGGTGATGAAATTTGGTAGGAAGATTGTGGGGGGGGTTTGATCGTTATTTTTCCAGATAATAGACTCCAGCCTCTTCCTGAAAATTATTTATGAAGAGGCTGATAAAAATACAGTTGCCATCTTTGTTCCAGCTTGCCTTTGTGTTAACTTAGGGCAAATAATTCCCTCTTTTGCTATAGTTCACTAGAATTGTTTAACTTTATTTGCCCTAAGGGAGATGCTTGCTTTCTCAGTTGTTTTTTTTTTTCATTTGTAAACAACTATTACTATAACTTCCTGGCAGAATGGATAACAGTTCAGAATGTTATACTTAAAGGTATTATTTTTTTTTACATGCCGTCTCTTTTTTTTTTTTTTCTGAGAAGCTAAGGTTGGCATGGGTGTACATAGTTATTTGGGTTTTTTTCAGAAGAATTTTGACGGTTATCAGTATTTTCTTTAAACAATTTTTAGAACAGTTTGGTTTGAATTTAGTCCTCCTGACAGATGAGAAACCAAACCCATCAATACCTAAATACACGTCTGCAAACGTGATGTAATAACACCATGCACAAGGTTCTCCACACCTCTCTGACAGTCCCTGACTCGCCCACGAGATTGAGAAGATATTTCATTGTCCCCACTAAATCCTTGTAGGCTGTGTATAGAGACATACCTGTGTATGCGGTATGTACTGTTAGCAAAAAATCAACTCGGTTCCCTGAGCTGCAGGTGCTGTAACGCCATGGGAGTATCTGCCTGGGAAGGGACTGATCCCTGGAGGTATCTAGGCAGTAACCAGCCCTCTGGTTAGGCAACATGGGGTGTGGACGTGTGTATTCTGGAGTGAGGTTACTGTATTTGTCACCCAACAAGCTTGCTGTTGACACAAATTAAATCACCTTGTTCAAGATTTTTGGTCCCACTGCTCATTTTCATTTGAACAGTTAAGCTTACGACTGGACTAAACATTTTTATATTAAAACTGTAACTGGTTGACAAATCACTTCCTGATGGCTCTGTTCTTCAAAGTGTTCAATTATTTGCCTGTAAAATGTGACTCTTAACAGCTTCGTTTGTTTTCCTGTTGAAGGCTGTGGACCAGAACAGTGTTTTCTCATATTTTGTCCGAATTTAGCTCTGTTTTGACAATGGGGCATCAGCTGTGCTTGTCCGGGAAGTAATAAAGGGCAGAAAGTCCTCTTTGAATCCATTGACCACTTGCTCTTTTTTTTTTTCAGTTTGATCTACAGCAAGTTGTAGCCTCTAGAGTACCTTCAGTTGTTCTGCTGGGAGGCCTGGATAAGTGGAACTGAACTCCATAAAAACACGGAGATTCATATTCCTGATTTATTTACCAAATGCTGACAAAATCTTTTCTAAATTGTTCTCTGCAAAATTTGCCCATGCGCTGTAAAATCAGTGCTCGTTAGCACCCTTTGTTTCAGAAAGCAAAAGTAAAAAAAGCAGCTATTCAGTGTCACAATGGAGAGTCCTGGTGTACTTACACAGGCATAAAGGCAGGACCAGCTGTGATAATATTCTAGCACTAGCTCTTGTCCAAGGAGTAATTTTTTTTTTTTTTTTTGGTTAGTTTTGTTCTTAGAGCAACTGCTAAATCTTTATCATCTTGATGGTTTCTGTTCTCTGCCTAATGTGGAAAAAATGTAAATTTGATGGTTTGTCACTATATTACAGGTAAGTGCCTAACATAAGATACTTTTAAAAGACAATTTGCATAATTCAAATAAGCAGTGAAGTGTCTCATCGGTGTTTCCAGCTTGAGGTGGTTTCATAGCTGGGTTACCTGGAATTTGGAACATTAAAAAGACTAAACCTGAGTGGCTCTGAAAACGCATTTCTAATCCGAATACAAAGCCAGCAATGTTTTAATGTCTCCACAGCCTTGTTTTTGTAATAAGGTGAGAAGCAGGCTGTTGTTGTGTTGTTTTTTTTTTTTCTGAGCATTTCTTAAATGTGTTTCCCCTGCTCTATCCTGGACACGAACCGCTGGCTCAGACGCTTTCACCAGCAGGAAGCATCCCCCTCTGCCCCCCCTGTAACCTCGTCTGCTCATTATTTAATTGCCAGCAGATTAGATAGCTGTTCCTCAAGGTGCGTCAGCGGCGCTCCCCCACCGGAGTAAATAGGTAGTTTTACTTCCTGTCGTGGTGCGTATGTGTATCTTGGCTTTCTTAGAATGAAAGATTACAACAAACTACTACGTCTTTGCTTTTTGATCCTCCCTCCCCGCGGCCAGTTCGGCCAGTAGATGGCATTCTGAGCATGCTGCCTGCACCCCAGTAACCATCGGAGAGTCGTGAGCTCACACACGATGTGCAAAATGTGGCATTGGATTTGGAAGGTACTCGATTTAGTTCTTGTGAGTTCATTAAAAAACCAAAAAACCTATGATTTTTTTTTTTCGGCTTATCCAATATGATTTTTGGAGTTTAACATCTCTGTTTAGTTTGACAGCTCTCTCTTTAACGTTTTTATTTCTGTTACTCTCGTGTGGCTGATAAGGGCAACCCTGGGAGACGGCGCCAGCGGCACGAAGGGGAGGGATGAGCCGCTCTGCGGTGCCCCAGGAGCAGCTACTCCGCGTTGTACCCCGGTGGGGCTGGGCATTGCTGGCTCACAAATGACTCAGCTGGTGGTCTGGAACCTCCTCTTTGATATAACGTAGGAGAGAGAATGTGGGTTGGTTTTTTCTCCCCCCCCGATTACCTCTAGAGAGAACTGGGTTTGTCTCGATGGAAGAAGGCAGAACCTACCTCCCAATCAAATAACATGGGTGCATTAAAAAAGCTTCACTCCACCTCTGTCTTCCAGCTGGAGTGGGTCTTTTGTTGGTTTTTCTCTTTACGTGTATCTACCCTCGCTCCTTACTGCCATCCTTTTATACCTCTCTACTGCTTGGGTTGCTTAGATTTGCTTCCTGACTCTAATCTGAGCTGAGTTTACCTACAAAACATTCCTACACATAGAGAGACTTCATCCACAGTGGGTTTGTCTTGGGTTAAGAGATTGCACCTGTTTATTTCTGAATTTATACTCTGTGACAAGAAATGGGCTTGGCACCTCTATCTTTATCTTGTGCCAATTGCAGTATGTTGCAATTTGTTCAGTGCCTTTTTTTTTTTTTTGCCTTTTTTCTTTTTTTTTTCCCCTCTGTGGTTGACACCCCCCCCCCACTGTTTATAATTTCAGCAGCCCTGGCACTGTGAGGGTTGATCGCCTTGCAGAAAATAGCGTGAGAGAGCAAAGTTAAGGGACAATATGAATAATCTTAATTGCTGTGGTAATTAATTATATGACTGTCATTTATGCTACAGGAGAAGTTGTACTGAAATCACAACCATAAACCCTGTTTTCCACTGGATTTTGTGCAATCCAGAGTGTTCTACAAGTCATGCCCTCCCTACGCACAGATAAAACTTGTTTCTCTTGTAGTTATGGCACAACGTCTTGACTCAGCGTTTATGAAAGTGGAGTTAGTCACATCTCTCACTCTGGTCAGACGCAGGAGGTTCCCTTTTGTAGTTATTTCACTTTGTCATTAGCGCGTTAGTTAAAGGCTTTTGAGTCCTCCTGCATTTCCTCCCTTCCCCGGGCTGGTGAACTGGGCTGGAACTCCGATCTCTGGCTTTGGCCGTGCAGGGTCTGTGTGAGGATGGTGGCCAGCTCGGGGTGGGGGCCCTTCACACCACGGCCACTGCTCTGGGCAGCAGCGCCTCCGGCTCCACTCCTCGCACGCCAGTTCCTAAACAGAAACACGTAATGTGTTTTTAAAGATAGGACGCGTAGCTACACTCCGTTCTGTGTTTGTTCTCCTGAAAATGAAAGATTCTTGTTTTATTAGGATACGTTCTGGGCTAAGTTCCCAGGAACGTGCTGCAAACGGCCATTCGAAATGGAGATTGTCGATGGCCCGGAGAAATCGATGGCATCGCACAGGAAGATTAAAGCCACTTTCCCCCCTTCAGCTGTTCTGCTTCTCTGTGGTTGTTGGCAGACTGGTTGAACCAGAGGCTTTGGATAATTTTGAGTTTTATGCCCAGCTTAACCTTACGACCTTCCTTTTCTTCCCCCTTCAAGCTGCCAGCATCTCTTCGTGCTCATTCTGCTTTTGTTGACTGCCCTGGCAGTTGCAGCACTGCACTGATGCAACTGCGTTGTGCTGTAGGTGGAATTACACTGGGTTGTTCTCAAAAAAAAGTACGAACTTGAACCTGGAGCCTCCAAGTTCATTTGCAGGCTGATGGTCAAATAAATAAGCAGAAACAGGCCTGAATCAAATGATCAGCAACGTGAAGAACAAGACGCTCCCAAAGTCAGCGTGCTGGGCTACGGCCTGTTCTGGAGAAAGTTTTGTAGGCTTAGTTCAAATCTTGGCTGTGGATTTGTACCTTGGATCAAAGTTTTGTTGCAGGCCCTTCTCCAATATAAAGCAAAGAAACGTAAAACAACAAATATCTAGTGAAATCCAAACACAATCTGCTCTATGTTATGCTACAAAAATGAATGAACTCTGCCTCCCACCCTCTCCCACTGTGCCTTGTTGTGAATAAGCACTGCTCAAAGGAAACTCTCGCAAGAAGTTCTGCCTCTTTCCAGCAGGAATAACAATTGCGCAAGGGGAAAATGCTGACTAGTTTTATCTCCGCTCTTCTAGTTGGGCAGGTATAGGTGAAGAGCAGATGGGGTGTTTTGAGTAGAATTGAAAGGACTCACTCTTAGCACAGAACTAAAGCACAAATACTCAGTTATAAGGTTTTAAGTGTCCTTCATAAGGAGCGTCCTATAGCTCATTTGAGGCTTTCTTAGACCGTCTGAAGGCGTGTGGTTGTTACATGACATGTTTTGAAGGATAGAAGAATATCTAGGGAAAGCAGGCAGACTAGGCTCAATCTAGGCTCAGAAATCTGCTGTTTATAAGACTTTAAAGCACTGGGTTAAAGTCACGCTGTACCCCTTGGATCACAGGGAAGGCTCTGCCAAGCGGCTC